TTCCTTACCATGGGCCTGGTATGCTGCTCCAGCATGGTCAGCTGGACATAGGTCTGCAGAGTTATCCCCCACCTTGATGCATCCTGATACATTAAGCCCTTGGGGTCAGAGATGGAAGCAGGACAGATGGACATTTGTTAGGACAAACAGCACAACAGAAGTTGGGTATTTAGGAAGATTTTGCTTTTCAACAGCTTTGTTCTAAGAAGTGCACTAAACAGTGGAAAACCTGATGAGGTTTGACAAGAATTAAGTGATCATTTGCTCTCCACAATGGAGATGTAGAACAATGGCCCTGTCCCTGCAGACACTGAGTGGGAGGTTGGCTGAAGTCAGCAGGAACAGGTTTATTCTGCACATGGAACAGTCAGAACCAAGTAATGAAAAAAAACCTACCTACTACTCTATTGCTGTGCACTGACAGACTCTCAGTACACCCCATGCATCCAGAAATCAAACAGGATTCTAAGTATGGTCTGGGCCTCAGAAAATGTGTCCTTTACCACAGGCAGCTGTCCTTCCCAAAGGATCCTCACAGCAGCCCTCTAGTAGCTGTTTCACTTTCTGATTGCTGCAATTCCACACACACATAGAACTTACAAGAAATAATCTATCCTGCACAGCAGAGAAAGGATCTCACTCAAAATAAAATAACATTCTGTGTCTGTTGGCTGAGGTGACAGGTTTTAAACCAGCAGCATACATTGGGCCCACAGGTGTGACCTCCTTTTCTCCCTGCCAAAATCAGACTTTCCCAGTGCTCTAAGGCTGCTGTCCATGCTGCAACACATGCCCCACCCCTTCACTAACAATCAGAAAAGCATCAACAACTCCTAGGAAGGACACTTTGCAGTTCCAGAGGGCCTGTGCTAACACCGATGGTATTTCACACATGTTGGGACAAGTATGGTTTGGGGTGTGTCCACAGAGCAGATTGCAGAGCCTGAGCACAGATCCTTGCCCCAGCCACCGTGGGGTTTCTGCAGAGGACATGAGCCCCAAGCACAGGACTGACAGCAGGAACTGCTTCCAGCATCCCAGCAAGTGTGCAGCTAGGACCCAAGGATATCCTGGGGGAAACAGTTCCAAGAAGCCTCGGTCACCCAAAAGGCAACAGAAGCCCACAACACCTCGCTGGGCTGCATTTTCCTTATCTGCAGCAGCCACAGGATCACAGATTCATACCTGTTAAGGGGTTGGGATGGACCTTAAAGATCATCCAGTGCCACCCTGACATGGGCAGGGACACCTCCCAGTTTCCCAGGTGCTCCAAGCCCCAATGTCCAGCCTGGCCTTAGGCACTGCCAGGGATCCAGGGGCAGCCCCAGCTGCTCTGGGCACCCTGTGCCAGGGCCTGCCCACCCTCACAGTAAAGAATCTTTCCCTATATCTAGCCTTGAATTTCCCCCTCTTTCAATTTTCACTCATTCCCTGTGTCCTGTCACTGCAGTTCCTGAGGAATTGTCTCTCTCTGGGGTCCCTGCAGACCCTGGGAGGAGCTCTGGGGTCTCCACACAACCTTCTCCTCTCCAGGCTCAGCAGCCCCAGCTCTCCCAGCCTGGCTCCACAGGGGAGGTGCTCTGTGGCCTCTTCTGGAGCTGCTCCAACAGTTCCATGTCCTTTTTGCGTTGGGGCACCAGAACTGTTCACAGAACTCCAAACATTAACTGACTGGATCTACCCCTCACCTCGAGTGACATCCTTCTCATCTCTGAAACAGACACAAGCACATTCAGAAACAACTGCCACACTCAGGGCTTACCTTCCAGGGAATTGCTTTAACTCACACCCCACTGGACACCCAGTCCTTGCCAAAACCACATTTTATATGCAATGTTTCTATTACATGCATGTCTTAATTGCAGTAGAAGCTCTTTTGCTTGGTGAAGCTTTAGTTTTTGCTTTGTGAGATTTGGATCACACCTTTTGTAGCAGTTTTGCTGGCTGATAAAAAGCCACCAGGCATGTCTTGCTAAAAGAAGTCACTGTAACTGCAGAAATAATTTCTGCCACTCACCAGGATATTATGACCTCGAACATTCCTCCACTTGTTCAAGGGTTCCTTCAAAACCTGGTTAAAAATAATTACTCCATGTTAAACACATCCTAGATTCAAAATACTTAATGTGACCCTACAAGTGCACAGCTATTTCTAAGGAATATTTGTGCAGTAAATCAGAGTATTTAAGACTTGTATTGGGAAGCTCATCACACTTAAAAAAAAACAGCACTGAATTCTGTAACACAAAAGGTAATAATGAACACTGCTAAAAAACAGAGAAGTGTCAATATCCAACATCTTAGCATTTTTAAACACTGATTACCTCATAAGCGTGGCGAGAATTTTTTTAAATGAAAATAAGTGCCATGTAAGGGAAAGAACAGCTTAGCAGAGTATTTAGCATTTCAAAGACAAGCCCATCCCCTCACAAATTAATTTCTCAGAAAATAACACTTGCCAGCAAAAGAAGAGGATCAGACTGCTACCACATTTGTTTTTGTTTTGTTTTAGTGTTCTAACAAACAAAATGTATTCAAATTTTTTACAAAATTAATCAGAAAAGCTTCTACCCTGAATAGGTAAAATGACAAAAGACCTACCTGGTTCAAACAGGGTCTAAATCTGCAATAATACTGCAGAGTCAGGCCCAGGAGAATCTCATCAGCCTGGGAACTTAAGTAGCTACTTAAAAATGCTGCACTGTATGCAAATTAAACTCTGTTATCCTTTGGATTAACAGTTAATTACTTCACAAGGACAATTCCTGTTAAATTACCAAATAACATCTGACAACACAGAATTTCTGTAAGGATTCCTAAAACTTACTACCAAATGTGTTGCCAGGTCTGTTGGGGAAAGCATTAATATCTGTTCTACAAAAACAACTGCTCACTGAGGTTTGGCCTTGATTTAGTTTAAAATACACCAAGCCTGCCCTTCCCCTAACCTGGTTCTAAGCAAGACAAAATCAAATACCAGATCAGTCTAAGAAATCTCCTGAAACAGTTCTAACAGATTTTCCTTTTTAAAAAAGAAGCCATCTATTCACTGGGATCTCTGTTACACGGCATAGGTATTTTTACATAATAATTATTTACTTTGCTTTTACTGGACCCATCTAAGATTTCAGTGACGTGAAATGGCAAACAGGCAAGTCCAAACATGCCCATGCTCTGTGGGTTGCTGCTATTTTATAAAGGTACAAACTCAGATTCACAGGTTTTACTGGTATTTTGGCATCCAGTACATACCATATGTGATCAACATTTCTCTGCTGCAATTTGACTGTAAAATGTTGGGGTGGTGTCCCAGCAAGCCTCTGGCTCAGCCCCTGCTGCTCCCTCCTCACACACCCAAGGACACGTTGGCTCCAAGACAAGAGCTAACACAGCTGCTCAGTGACGGAAATAAGGACAAACAAATGTGCATCCAGTACCTCAATGCTAGCAGTTTGTGCAAAATAATCCAGGCATGTTGTTTTTCCACTCGCTATGTTGCCCTCGATACAGATCTGGTGAAAAACAGAGTCACTCTGAGACCCCCACTGTGGCACAACAGTGAACAGCGTGTTAGAAATGCAGCTTGCCCATTCCAACATGCCAGCTCCCTACATTGGGAAGAGGTTATTTCATGGGAAGGCACTGGGGATCCATTTGGATGCTGTGACTCTCCCAGACCTCCCTGCTACCCCCACAGCCAGCCCCTGCCCTGCTTCCAGCTTCCTTCCCCTTCCCAGGATCCCAGGGGTTCCAGAGGGTCACCTGCTGCCCCTCACTCTGCCACAACCCACCTCAGAAACCTGATCCCAACTTAAAATAAATTGCCAGCTGAAGTAATAATTTCAGCATCCATTATATAGATATCTTAAACCTTAAAAGGGATCATAGTTTTATATTCAGAAACCTAAACAACTAAAATAAATTAAGAGAATTTTTTTTCGACTGTCTTAAAAGAATTTATAGCCCAGGGGGGTTATATAAAGCAACGGCAAGGCTACACATGCAATACTGAACCCAAACTGAAATCTGTCCTGACACAAGCCCTCACAGTTTTATTCCTCATAATTTTTGCACATATCTCTCACAATTTTAATACAATTTTCAGAACTAGACCAGCCGTGCACAGAGTACAACCCAGTGACAAACCCACCACCACACAGTAATACAGCTATGGCCTATGATTGCCAATAAAACACATTAAAATTATAATAAATTTATGATGAAAGAGGCTGCGCTTTATACTTAGTTTCCTGAACAAAATGCAAATACTTACAATTCTCTTTCTAGCATCTTTTTTTATCAAATGCTTATCTAGAATGGAAACAAACAACAGTTAAAACCAAAGCGGCCTGCATAACTTGGTTATACTGAGCCTCTTAATGTGAGGCCTTCCAGGACATTTCTAGGTTCCCTATGGCTTAGTATCACTATTTTCTAAATTGTCAAGCTTCAAGGTTTTAGGTAATTACTGGGTCATGTAACAGACACATTGTGGCACCGACTAACACAGATTTAGCTGAAGTTTTCCACTGTCCTTTACACTGCCAAGAGCCTATGGTGACTGCTCACACTTTGCCCAGACGTTTGCTGTATCTGCTGCTCCTCAGTGGGTTTGCACAGGAAATTTTTGGAAAGACCGACTGGAGCAGCCCGGTGGGATAAGGGTGAGGATTACAAAGCAGCTCCAAAATAAGCACCTTACACCTCAGAACTGCGGTAAAAAACCTGTCCAAGCCAAGCTGAACTTACGAGAGCCTTCACCCAGCCAAGCATGGCACGAAGGCAGGGACGAGCTCGGCGGTCACCCCCGGTCAGAGCTCCAGGGTCTGACCCCGCTCCTGCTCCCCTAAAACCGCTCCAGGGTCTGACCCCGCTCCTGCTCCCCTAAAACCGCTCCAGGGTCTGACCCCGCTCCCGCTCCCCTAAAACCGCTCCAGGGTCTGACCCTGCTCCCCCGGAGAGGCTCCAGCGCATCCCGAGGGCCCACACCGAACCGAAGNAGGCCTACACGGCGCTCGCCAGCATGGAGACGGTGATCACCGTCCTGTTCCTGCTGCTCTACCTGCTGAGGCTCGACGCGCGGATGCGGTGCCTCTTCTGGCCGCTGGCTGTGAGTACCCGTGGGCTCCGAGTAGCGGCCGCTCTGGCTGGCCCTGAGCAGCAGTGGCCCCTGGCTGTGGGTACGGCTGTCCCCTGGCTCAGGGCACCAATGTCCCCGCGCTCCTGCGGCCGCTGATGTGAGCGCCAGCAGGCCCGTGAACAGGAGGGATCGCCTGGCCCAGGGGACACTGCCAGCCGGCTCAGTGATTGTTTCTGCACAGGTAAGGCAAGCCCCAGTGTTCTGTGGAGGTTGAGGCAGTTTTGCCTAGCGGAGCGTTCTGTTCATCGGTTCTTGGATCCGATCACGGCCCCTCCCGGCATGGGCTCCGTTTGCCTCGCTGTGTAAATACCTTCACATCACAAATTAGTCACACGCTTTCACTCAAATACTAACCAGTGCTCATCTTACCTCACTTTTGTACGTGTATTTGCTGCTTCAGTCTATCAGGTGTAGCCAAGTTGCAAAAATCTGATGCAAAAACAACAGAAGGAAGGTAAAACGAGGAAGTTTTACTATAAATGCTCCTTTTACCCTCAAACCACTGGGTGTCAGTGTCCTCTCACACGGAAATTTCTGTAACTGTGTTCATGGCAATCCAGCCGTTTTTAACCATCCCTTCTCTGTTGGGAGCTCTGCATGTTCTCCTTCAGGCCTGTATTTCAGAATAAATATTTTGCTTCCACTGGCTGTTTCAGGATATTTTCAACTCGATGATTGCAGCATTGTTCCTCCTCGTTGTGAGCTTGTTTGCAATAATAATCAAGACCAACAAGGGGACATTGGCTGGAGGAGTAAGTAGGAACATTGTTAATGAATTTCAGTTCTTAAAGTGAAGTGATTTGACCCTCTTGGTACACTCACACTGTAAACAACTGTCTTGGAAGAACACTCTCAGCAGTATCAAACAAGGTACATTCAGTGGATCTCACTAAAAGAAAATAATCCTCACATTGCTAAGATTTGCATTCCTAAGATTTAGGGATGACTGCAGAGAAATACTGAAACACTTAAAATTTCTAGAGTTTTCAAGTAACCTACATTTGCTACCATAGCTTCAAATCCTAGGTAGGAGAATCCCTCTTTTTAGGACTATCCAGTTTGGTTGTACTACTTGAGAAAAGATGCCAACAGTCCTGCTAAAAGGAGTTGAAATTTTTTAACAGACACACTGGTACCTCCCTTCTGGTGCATATATTGTTTTGTCTGACACAAACTGAGAAAGTATGTCAGTTGAAAAGGGGTTTTGTTCATACTATGATTGTAAGAATTTCATGTTCTTAAGGTTAAACCAGTTTGAGTAACAGGTACTTTCAATTCAAATGGCAGCTAATGTAATTAACCTTAATAAAAAGTAAGGAGGGGAAGAAAACCCCTCAGTTTTGAAAGTCTCTAGAAGTACAAGATAAGCTGAAATGTGACAAGCAACCAAAAGAAACCTAAAACCTGCCAGAGGGGTCTTTCAAACTCATTTTAGGAGATGGTGAGGGTGAAAGCTGATGGCTTCACTGGCAATGGCATCCTAAGCAAAAAGGAGACTTTCTGATAGAGTGACTGTGCTGGAATAGAATTTATATTCTCAGTTGTGAAGTTTACAGAAATTAAAGGTGGGAGCAGGAGACTGAGCAGGTAGCTGGGAGCACAAGTTTGGGTGGAATATGTGACATCTTCAGTGCTGGAAGGGACAGAATCACCCCCAGCTTGTTCTCCTGAGGCGCAAACTGCCTTGAGCTGTGCTCTCCCAAGAGTTCTCCTGAAAACAGCTCCCCTGATCAGATAATTCAGTGCCTGTATAAAAAATCCCTGTGTGCATGTGGGATGGGGATGAAGGGCAGGAGCTGAGTCAGTTAACTCAGTGACTCTTCTGCAAACACATTTTTCCAGTTCCTGCCTGAGGTTGTCTATTTTTAAAGTAATTGAGTACGTTTTCTTCAATTTGGAATATGTTTCCAATTCAGAGCTTCAGAGAAATGCATTTTCCTGCTGGGCTTGTCTGTATGAATACTGACTTTTCCCCTTGACTTTTCTCAGGGCCAGTCCCACTCATTAAGCAGCCCTTAAAGAGACAGAAGGGCTTTCATTTAGGATAAAAGCATTATGTGGCATAATGCAGCATTAGCTTAGCTTTCAAGGGGAGCACCACACTATCTCCAAGGCCTGACACAAACATCATAAACAGCAGGCTGTAGACAGCTGATGGGATGTAAATGTGGGTGTTTAATTTATCAGCTGTTTCAAATCACACACGCTTTCAAGGGCAGAGCCAAGTTAGGAAGATGTGTTTACTGCTGCCTTGATGAGTCACTACAGTAAAAGCACAAGGTTGATTGGGGGAACTAATTTTATGGTAATTTTTATAGGTGTTGGGTCTTATATTGCTTGTTCTCTGCCTTGCCGATGCGATTCTTCTTTTCAAGACGATTAGCCGTGATAAATCAAGAGGAAGGAGTGCTCCTGCCAAATAGGATTGATGTGTTAGTGAAAGAATGAGTTCTCCATTCTGTTTCCCCACTCTCTTTTAAAGAATTTGTATTTTCACATGCACATTTTTGAATTTCCTGCTGTTTCTGCAGGTATCCTTCATAAGGTTTCATACTTTTCCAAATGCAGTTTCAGCGTTGCAATTTCACCAGTTAAAGCTTCAGAGAAAATTGTCATGTTTTTCTAAAGTTAATTACGTTTTTATCTGTATGAAAATTATTTTCATGGTTGTCTTCTTTCTCTAATAAAAAGAAAAAACAAACGGGCTTAAGTGCATTATTTAATCTTAATTATTTACTAAGTGTAAAAGAGTACATTGGAGTAAATGTAACTTTAAAGTAAAAATGTAATGACCCATCCTTCGGAAAGATTTTCTTGTGCCACGTGAATTACAAGTTTTTGCATCCTGAAATTTCAGGATTGAAACCCTTTGAGCGGGGTTTGGCCTGGGTGACCTCCAGCCCCGAGCTGCCGGTGGCTCAGTGCTGTGTTCAGAGTGGCAGGGAGGAGAAGCGCCCCGGCTCGCCGGTGTCGGCCCAGCAGCACAGGGCAGGGCAGGGCGAAGGTAGCAGCCCGGCTCCATTGTCCCTGTCCCGGGGCTGGGGGCGGGCGCTGGGGCCGCCCCCCACAGCTGGGGGATGCTGAAACTTTTTTTTTCACGTTTCCGCAGTGTCACGATTTCCGCTTCCCTCCTTCAGAGAAAAAAATTAAAAAAATTCCACGGCCAACCCCCCAGCCCGAGCCTGAGCCCGCGCCCAGCCCGAGCCCGACTCGAGCCCAGCCCAGCTCAGCCCGAGCCCAGCNGTCCGTGGGGGCCGCGCCGCCGCCCGGGCTCAGCTCGCTGCTCCCCCCCCGGGAGTTCCTGCGCTCCCGCAAGGGGCAGCTGCTGCTCGCAGAGTCGGTAAGGACGGCACAGCGGGGCCGGGGGGCTGCGGGAGCCTCCCCCGGGACAGCCGCGACCCGAGCGGGCTCCGCCGGACCGAGCTGCCCCGGGCCGCTCCGCTGTGCGCCTGAGGGGAGAGGCGGCAGCGGCTGAGGGGAAAGCGGGGAAAACAACCGAGGGGAGACGGGGGGCAGCAACCGAGGGGAAATCTGGGGAAAAACAGCCGAGGGGAAAACTGGGGAAAACAACCGAGGGGAAAACTGAGGGAAAACAACCGAGGGGAGACAGGAGACAACAACCGAGGGGAAAACGGGGAAATAGCCGTACCGGAGTGGGGGAACTGAGAGCGTAATGGATTTAGCGTAATTCAGGCACAGCACCTTAGAGAGCAGAACTTGTCTCGTTAGCCTTCCAGTGTGTTTCGCTATTGGCGACTCCTTTTCGGTAAAAAAGCGCTTTGATTTCGTTTTAAGCTGTTTGCAGTGTGATTCCAGTAACCACTACGGCTGCGGTTTGCATTATCGGCTGGTGCCAGGTTAGGGGGCAGCTTGGCCTGAGTGTGTCAGGAAAGGCTTTAGTGAGGAATTTCTGATGTGTGGCATGAGACTGCGCCTCTCAGCTGCTGTCCCGAGCCCTCGGAGCCCTGCTGGTCCCTGACCCTCGGAGGGATGCGCTCGCTGGCCGCTCTGGAGCTGCCCGGAGGGAAAGGCTGCTGAGACAGCGGCTGGGCACCAGCCCGGCTGGGCACAGCGCCAGGGACACCTGGCTGGATCAGCAGGACCAGGGCAGTGACTGTGGTGAGAGACTTTGTGGAATTTTACATACAAAGGCTGAAAACCTGACAGCTAAAACAGTACCTGTGTGATAGGGAAGGCGATCACTCACCCCGTGGGGAGTGGGTATTTCACACCAAAATTACGATCTGAATAGGAAGCTCATTGATTGAAATTAGATGTTCAACATCATTTTTTCTAGAAATAATGATAAATTCAGATACTAAGTTTGCTGGGCTTTTAGCTGGAGTTTTGTCAGCAGATAGTCAAATATCAGGACAGCCCAAACTAGCAGTCAGGTCCATGGAGCACTGTTCAGATGTGCAAGGTATCTCTGGCTATGCACTCTGCTAGCTCAGGGAAGTAAACAAGGGTATTCCTGCCAAAGAGAGATAAGGAACTGGCAGAAGGAGGCAGAATTGTCTGTGACCAGCTGGTGGGGGACCAGCTCTGAGAGTCTGTGAGGCTGTGGCCACTGCCCTGTGGCAGAGAGACAAGGAACAGCCAGATGCAAGGCTGGCTTTGAGAGGAAAAGCATTCACTCAGTAGATCAGGATGACTTCTGTGCTGGGGAAAGCCACAGGTTGGGTATTAGCAGGCCATGGGCTTTATCAGCTCCACCAAAAAAATGCCAGCTATGCCATCCCTCCTCCAGGTACCCCATCAGTCACACCATCACACAATCACACATCAGCATCTGTAGTTTACAAACCCACACATTTACAAGATACTAGAGCCCAGCTAACCTGGCTCCTTTGGCATGTATTTTTTACATACTGTAACACACACTGGAATTTCCTTTACAAGCTTACAGCCACTAAATGATGGTTTTCAGACAGTCTGGCTTTTTAACATCTCAGAATGATGACATATTGGAGGAATACTGTTCTGGTCATGGGATCAGACTCACCCTTTTGTTATCATAGAGAAGTACTGACGATGCCTCCTTGGAGTAATAAAAACTTCTCTGTCTTGACAAAACAGGGATTTATCCTTTGTCAGGCCACTTGGGGCTTCCCAAGGGCTTGGCTGGCTGAAAGCAGCCCTAAAATCTCATCTGCCAAGAGCTTTCCTTGTGCTCCTTGCAGGCCAAGCCCACGTGCTCAGGACACAGTTTCCTGGCAGACAAGAGGCAGCAGTAGTTTCTCTCCAGTTGTCTCAGCTTTGCCAGAAGAAACCCTTGAAGACAACACAGGCCCCAGAGTAAATGCAGCCTGTATACAATTAGAGAAATACAGTGCCAAATAATTGAAGACGAGTCCAAGTTAAATCTATCATGGTTTAAATCTGTGTTTCATCTTTAGCTTTGCATTCCTCCTCTTGAATGTTTAATTTTTCCTCTGACACAGTGCTAATGTTGGATGGGGTTGGGTGCTGCATAAATGTATGGAAATAATATTCATGGACACACATTTTGAACAGTGTCTTTTGTTCAGAGGCAAAGTGGGGTCCTCATTACTGTTACAAATGTCACATTATTCAGCAGCGTAGCAGTTCCCCAGAAATGCACTTTATTTCTGCATATCTCAAGCCATTTTTGAAAATAACATTTCCACACAGAGGATCTTTAGGATGTTCAGGTGTGATTTGCTCTGGTGCAGTACCCATATAAACTGGGAATCCTGGTGCTTCCCCTCAAACAGGTCAGGCTGGTGATGGTGCTGATTACTGCTAGAAGCTTAATTATAATCTCAAATTTTATTCAGATAAGGAAGTTATCCTCCCCCCACCCCCTGCTCCTTTTTCTTTTGATCTCCACAGAATCACAGAATGGTTGGGGTTGTATGAGACCTCTGGGGAACATCCAGTCCACTTCCCCACTCACCTGCCTGATTAATTTTTTATTCCACCTGGGACAGCTCTAAAGCCAGGGAGAAGCAGTAGCATCAAATACATGTAGAAGCTTCACTGTTTCCCCTAATCCTATTTATTCTCACTGTCTTGATCTCTCCATTTTCTAACCATCATTTTTAATCTTACACATTAATCTTTTTTCCTTTCTGTTTCCCCCCTCACCCATGCCATGGTTTCTTCCACACATTTTAACACTCTTCTTAAGCTACCCATTTTTCCTAACCACTCAAGTTTCTGTGTTGCAGGTCAGCATGTCATCCTTGCTCTTTTCTACCCTTCAAGAGATGAGTTTTCCATTCCCTGTGTCTTGTGTTGGAACCATTTAACAGCCACTCTCACACTACCACCAGAGCTTGTCCAGGCAGGATCCCCAGCTGTGGATTCTGCTGCTCATCTGGTGCTCCACTCAAGCCTTTGTGGCTGCTTTAATTGGCATCTCCTCAGTCTCCTGAAGCCAGCATGCTTTTATTTTGTTTTTATAAAAATGCAGTGTGAATAGGTAAAGTTGTGCCACCTCTGTGGTGACATAAAAGGATGTAGAAATCACTATGCCTGTTTCTCTCCTCTTTTCCTGTCTTTCTCCTGTCTTTTCAGTCTCCTCTGAACTGACCTTCATAACTGAATCTTCAGCTGCTGGGTGTAAAGTCTCCTTTGAAGAAACCCTGTGCCTTTCTCAGGGTCTGTAGCCAGAAGGCCTCTCCTGCAGCGAGTTCTGGAGGAGACAGGAGTTTCACCTCCACGACAAGTGCAACAGAGAAGTGATAACTGAACAGCAGAGACCACTGAGTGATGCACTTTGTCTGTCTGATAAGAATACAAGAACAAAACACACTCTTGTCCAAAAGGTGACACTGTTACCCACAGTCTTACCCTCAGCCTTAGGCAAAGCTGCTCTTTCCTGGGGAGGGAGGTGAGAACAGGAGAAGAGGAGCTGCTGCAGTGATGGCAGCAGCTTCCCAGCATCCCAATATTCCCAGTGGGTTCCATCGGGTCTGTTCTCCCTCCTCAGGGGAGACAACGCCTCTGGAGCTGCCATGACCTCAGCACTGCTCAGGCCTCCCTCCCTTCAGGGACACTGTGCTCTCTAACCACTTGTACAATAAAGTGTAACTTCATAATGCCTGGCCACTTTAAGAAGCCCAGCAACACAATATTAAGTAATAATTACATGGCTTTAAATGGGAACGTTACTTTCTGAAATACAATACCCAAGAAGGGTTCTGTGTGAATGGGAGTGCACAAAAAAGGTGCTCAGTGAACAGTCAGGCTGCTGTTTTGCCAGGATTTTTTATACACTTACGACTGCCAAGCTATGAAAGGTTCCTGTCCTGCTCTTTGCTGCATTAGAGCTTCCTGCATTCACATATTCCTTCACAGTGAAGCTGGCAGCAGTCACCCCAAGCTGTCATCAGCAGCTCAGAAAGAGCTCAGACTCAGCTGCTCTCAGTGCTGAGAGTGCAACCCCAAGTGAGGGGAAGAGAAAAACCCTGTGTAAATACAAATTGACAAAACTGCTACAACACTGCTATTTTTTTTTTTTCTGCCAGAAGCTGCAGCGCCTTCTGAAAGTGCTAGAAATGAACTTGCAACTGCATGGAGCCTCACAAACTTCCTCTCTAGATGCCTTTTTTTTTTAAGCATAGATACAGAGCAGTTAGAAAAGCACCAAGGTCCCATTGCTTGACCTTTCTCTGAAGTGACCCTGAAACACACAGCTCCAGGAAGAGAGGTGCAGAGCAAGTGTGATGTGCAATGG